CACAGAGTTATGTTGGTAGATTGGAACAGCAAAATAAAGACTTGAAACAGCAACTAGCCAGTGCAAAGGAAGAAATTTGTTCTCATTTGGATGCCTTGGATGTTTCAAAGGATTGGCATAATAAGCAAAAGCAAGAATTATTGGATAAAATCCAAAGACTTGAAAGTGAAGTTGAGCAATTAAAGAAACAGCATACCCAATTAACTGCTCAAATTGAAGTTAAAGAAAATAAAAAATGGTCTTGATTAAAAGTAAAGAAGTAATTTAAATTTCATAAGTAATTTTTTCTTGATCTAGATATTGCTGGAGCATTTGGGTATCATTGATTTTAAAAACGTAGGGAGCAATTTTTTCCCCTTGTTCTTTTTTTAGAATGCTTCTAATAGTGCTGTAATTCTTTGGTTCCATGGTGGATTTAATGTAAATGAGTTTCATATTAATATTTTTTTATATAGAGGTAGTCCTATATTAATCCTGTTATGGTTTATATTCATCACATTCTGGTATGATAATGTGAACATTAAAATTAACAAGTCCATAAGTTATGAATGAGCACATTATTACTTTTCAAAACGTCAGGTCAATTTTACAGCCACATCATAATCAGCCTCTCATTTATAAAATGTTCACTTTGCCTGGTTTTGTTGCAGTCTGCCCCATATACTCTACTTTGGATGTTCTGTCCTTACAAAATCATAGCAAACATAAACGTATTTGGAACGTAATGTTAATGTATTACGCTGGTATATGATTCTTACACATGTCGATCATCAAAAAAATAAACAGTTTTTTACAAAATATTCACCAGATGACAAAGCCATCTTTTTTTGGAAAGTCTCAAACTTAGTCCGCCTTTACATATTGCACAAAGTTCGTACAAAGTATTTGTTACCAAATATTTGCTTATTCATTTGTCCTACATCAATATCTATATCAGTCTAAAGAATTACACCCGAATTACCTTATGGCATTATGGTCAGTTTGACAAACATTACAAATATTGGAGCCGCTGCATTGGTAAGTTAATAGGGAGTATATTAGAAATAGATATGGAAAAGGTAATGGTAGGATAATGAGCGATTAATATATAGAAGCATCCATGTGCGGGCCAATAGTTAACTTTTGTTGGTCTTGATTTTCATAGCCGCTGCCATCCACAACACAACAATGCAAACGCCACACACAACAGCCACAATAACTCTATGGCTCCCAACTAATGTAACATGGTTACACACTCTTGGGACCATCATTACAAATCCTTACTCAAGCAACGACACGACTGTCTTTAAAGTCTCAACAACGCGATATGTTAACAGCACCGGTTCACAATGCAAATAAACAATCACCGTTTATCATCAATCGCATCACCAATACTTACAAGCAAGAACATCAAAAGCGCAAGCGGAGTGAAAGTGACTGTATGTAGAGAATCGGACGTCATGGACGACAAACTCTACGTAGAATTACACGTATTCGAGTACGAATCACTATCAAATTTCATCAAACCTGTGACAAATACTCCGTCCACCAGCATTTCTCCGTCTAAACGCTCCAGGTTATCTCAGTTAACAAAAGAAACAATAAACACACCACCAGCATCGAATTCCACAAAACAAGGAGAAACTTCAGAGAACCCTTCAAGAGTTTGTTCACAGAAGCGCAAACAATGTTTATAGTGGAACCTATAAGAATCAAGACGCGTACCTTATAGTTGACTCTGTATCTCATAACTGTGTTATAATTTACCGTGGAGGAGATAAAGATTATCAACTATGGTCTGGATGGAAACTAAGTGATGCTCAATACAACCATGTAACACAACCACCATTCAAATTACGTGCAGTCGTACTTACAGTATATGAAGACATCCTCGATGAAATTGCCAACTCGGAAGTTGAAAGGGATGATTTACTTGACCGATTTTTAGAAGTTTACTTGGATGATAAAAACAGTTATGGTGATGAAGTATATAACCAGATTGCGGATTTTTTTGAACTGGCTGAAAGTTACATTCCATTATCGTTTGAAGGAAGAGATGAAGTGAAGCCGGAAGACAATTATGAACTTGACTACGAAAAAATAAAGAAGAAGGCAAAAGATATTCTGGGGGGTACTTGAAAAATTAGCAATTTGAACAAAGACAAATTGTTTTACTAATTGCTCATTAAATTTATATCTTAAGAATTAGGCCTTAGTTTGTGTATAAGGAGAATTGCAAATAAAAAATTATCGGGAATATTGAGTTGCATTTTTCGTGGTTATTTATTTTGCAATTGATTAATTGACGGTTTGAATGAGGTGCGATTGCGCGATTGTTTAATGATTGATTTGGCAACTTGATTTCTTACCCACACATCCTGCGATTTCGACATGTTTTATACATTAATACCTAGCATCAACGATCCATAGCATTGGTTCTTTACATCTCGTACTAAATCGGGGCAATAAATCATAATACATGGCGATTTCGTATTATTTATGTCGATTATTGTGCATCGGGTGATATGTATCGCCGATATTTTACAATTTCCATGTATCACTCGATATTTTGTTTGTTACTTGACTTAGATGCAATAAGGGTCTATTTCGGACTAAATAGCACTTCGACCCTGCATCTCGAATACACATCACGGGCAATGAGAACGTGCCGTGCAACGTAAAAAATCAGATTATCATGACTCAGAAAGTCGCCCTACAGACTGATCGTGCTTTATACGTCAATTAAAAAATTTATCAGATTAATTTATTTCTTGTGACTGCATCTGGCAATTTTCTTTTTACTTTGCGACACCGCTTCGGGTGTATAACAGCCACAGTCTTATACGATTCTGAACTAGATGTGGGAAGAATTACTTGGTAATGTGTGCCAGCTTATAGCTGAATCACTATCAGAAGAATCGGATTCAGATATTAAAACAGTTTTGATGATCTTGGCCTTTTCGTATTTTTTTTTTTTTTCGGTGACAATGTTGGGATTTGTGGAGATCGGAAGAAAGGGGATCTATTGCAGTTTTAATTGCACATTCAATATCTTTTGCAGATAGATGGCGAGAAGAGTTATACCTAACGGACCTGAAATTGCTGGAAGCAGTCACTTTATGGCTAGATGAGTTATTTTTACTAGAGCTGGCTTTGTTAAAATCTTCATCGATTGGGATACTCTTACTATCTATCTCAATTTTAGCAATAACGCGCTTACAATTTTCCAGAGAAAATCCAAAGATAATTTTTGCTTCGCGCGTCCATAACCAATCTTGTCCCAATACGATAAATTTTTGCGAATTTGAAAGTCCATCATTTCAGTGAAATTTAAGCTTCGCCACTTTCCTTTATAGCGAAACTGTAAATCTAAGCATTTTATTTCACCCATTACATCCCCATAGAGATTCTCAACAGGATCACGTATTACATAATCTTCTTTAAGCTTATCGAACAAGCTCTTGCTAATGGTATTAAACTTTGACGATATATCGATTTATGCTTTTACTGGGATTTTTCCTTTTACGAGTGTTTTTATGAACAGGTTAATATATTTAATACTGTATTTTTTTATTGCATATTAATAAATAATTTAACATAGACAATGGCTGAATAAATTAGTGCTAAAGCAACAGAGTGTGATTGATCATGTTCAGAATGTCCAATTATCACTTATGAGATTACGAAAGAATTGGGTTTCGAAATAAATAAAAGTTTACCCAATACTACTGATAAAGCGGTATCTGATATTGTTAAGCAAGTATCGAGTAAAAAAATTCAGATCTCTCTTCACCAATTACTGGAGATAGTGAAACTCGAGATTCAGCAGGATATTATAAACTCGATAGGAACCCTGATATTCCTCGAACAAATCATACACCATGCAAGGCTAAAAGAAAAAAGATATTTTTAAATGATACAGCATCTTCATCCTCATCCTCATCCTCATCCTCTTCTTCATCTGGGTTTAGTTAATAACAATAATAATCCAATCGAATGGAATCCATTCCAAATATGCTTCATTTGCAGAGTTTGTTTGTAATTGAGATTTCTTAATA